GAAAAATTGAAGGGGGTCTGAATACTTTCCGTACCCACTGTAAATATGAAAACCTTAAACTTAAAAAACGTAAACAGATATTGTAAATGTTGCCTTGGCAATTAACCAAAATAAATATGTTTAAATATAAGTATTAAAATGACTAAAACTAAAATAGAAATAAAATAGTAAAACAGCATTTAGCAAAATTACAAAAATCTTACACAAATTAAAATTCAAATGGAATATATAAAAAAGCGAATTAAAAACAATAATAAAACCTATGACGGTATATATAAATAATACTAAAATAACACTGAGACTACACATTGCCACTCGACACTCATGTGCTGCCCTCAACTAACACCAGATAATCTCAATTATACATCTAATAATGTTTTTTAAAAAATATATAGAAATAATAGTTCTGGTGTCCAGTCACCGCTTCTGACTGGTCAATACAGCGGGTGCAATAAAATTCACAATATAGTAAATCAGATGGCACAACTGCAAATGAAAGTGACGAAAGTGACGTGACGTGGCCAAGTATGGTGACCCATACTCGGAATTAGTGCTCTGCATTTATCCCATCCAAAGTGCACACACACAGCAGTGAACACACACACACCGTGAACACACACCCAGAGCAGTGGGCAGCCATTTTTGCTGCGGCGCCCGGGGAGCAGTTGGGGGTACGGTGCCTTGCTCAAGGGCACCTCAGACGTGGTATTGAAAGTGGAAGAGAGCGCTGTACATTCACTGCCCCCACCTACAATCCCTGCCGGCACGAGACTTTGGGTTACGAGTCCGACTCTCTAACCATTAGGCCACGACTTCCCCCTATGATATAGCTTTTATATAACATTTTGTCCATTTTTTCTATGCGGATGACACTATGTCACAACAAGACAAAGGATAATAAATCAATGCTTCTACAGAGCAATACACAGCCTTCCTGAATCACTCTGTGTTTGTGTTTCTGAACAAATCAGTTTAGTGATTGATTCAATGACTCACTCATAAAAACAACTGTGTGTTTTGTTCCTGAATAAACTAGTGAGTTTGAAAGAATTGTTTGAATGAATGATTTGATGACTTGCTCATAAAGACAGCCACTTGTCCAGTTACCAGTGTAACCTGCAGAAATTCAACCTCCGAATGCGCAAACTCGCATGATAGAAACAGTGAAAAGTCACAGTGGTGTTAGACTGTATATTAGCACTCTTGGCTAATCAAATTTCTTTAAGTGCATTCAAACTATGCATCTTATCATCACTATATTTGTTCCCTGGGATTACAAACGTACAATTGTTAGCACGCAGCTCTACTCATAGATCTACAGGAACTCTCAGAGTTCTGATCTAACTGTATAATTAATACAGAACACACCCCTTTATAGCACAAACAACATTCTCACTCTGGTAGAGTCCAGCCTTAAACACCACTCCCTTCATCAGGCTACTGCAATTCAGTCGAGATGCTCTGAATAATTCAGAGAAACATGAGTAAATGCAGTCATTGGTGGTTTCCATGCTGTACATTTTCTTCCTCACATTTCTGTTGCATCCCCCAAGTGCAATATACAGCCATTATATGTGAATAAAAGAGTTGAAGAGATGCACTGCTAACAGGAATATTTCTAATACCGTATCCTCTTAGTTAATTATGCTTTAGAGAGAGGGTGAGCTGCACACCTGTGGTAACTTGAAAAGAGTGAATAAATAATTAAAGAGCTGAAAATCAACCTAGCAAGCTTCATACAGCCTCACAGGTGCATGTTGATGGGACAGCTATTCAAGATTTGTTTTCTCCCTAAAAAGGAAAAAGTATTTTTGGTGTATTTTTCATGAATATAATTTTACAACTGTCCTCTTAAAAATATTCATAAATTATATTTTAGATTAGATGAGCATATAGCTGTCACAACATCTCATCTGGTTTCTGACAGCTACAATCACATGAAACATAAGAAAAGACGTTGGTATGATTTGACACTGTAAGATTCAAAAGGTACTGCGGCACGTCTGCGTTTTGCACTTTTTGCATTGACTACAATCCATTTTAAAAAGGTATATTATTTTGTTGTAAACAAATATTACATAAACATTATGTAACTTACCTTAACACAACAACCACTGGGCTTTTCCTTGTTTGCCTTGGTCCCACTTTTCTAAGCTTGACAGTTTTCTGTCAAGTATTGTTTAGTGTTTGAGTTTATCCATTTGATGTGAGTACCTGTGACAGCTGCTGCTCATGGTGACTCCTGTGAAAGACCTCGGCCTGAAACACTAAACCCGATCCAACCCGCTGCTACTGACACAATCAGTCTTATGGGCTCTTTAGTAGGTCGAAAGTTAAGGTGAACAGGAAGCTGAGTTAATGATTGTTAATGTTCTAAAGTGCTTTAAAGCTACAGTCCAAGTTTGATTTCACTTGTTTTTGTTTCAGTAAAAGTAGGGCTATTTTGTAATAATAATTTTAAATAAGCTT